CCAATATTAGGAATTAGTTTGCTTTTACTTTCTTATTTTTCTATGTATTTATGTTTTCTAATTGAATAAGTGGTAAAAAACTAATAGTACCTTTTTTCTCAATTTTTAGAGCTTGTTTTCTTGCTTTAGATGTAGAGCTAACGCAACCATCTATTTTTTAAACGAGAATTTTGAAGTTAAATTTTGCGATAAAAGTTTTATTAATGAATACCTTTTAAATTTTAATTATTATGTTAATGAAAACGGATACAAAAATGTGTAAATTTCGAGGTTAAATACCATTATTAAGAAAGCTTTATTCTTAAATTATGTTTCGTTTTGGCTTCATTTCATTTTCATGATATTATTTTATTTCATTTTAGTAAAATTTGTGTCGCCTTTTCTGAAAATATTTACTAGCCATTATTTTTCTAGGTCTTAATTGCATTATTATTTATCATTAGCTAGAGAAACTAATTTTGAGATGGACTGTGTTTTTTTCCCAAAAGTTTTATTTCATTTTAATCATTGTTGACTATCTAAAGGAACAGTAGTTCAACGAAAAAAGAAAAATTTCAGAAGCCAGCTTGTTGTATAATTGAAAGTTGAAGCTTGATACATTCATGTTAGCTACATTTTACTAACATATTTGGCGCTGTCTATGACTTTCATGTACTTTAGCGATCCCGAAATGTTCTAACATTTGTAGATTCCTATTCATAAGTGAATTTGAGGTAAAAAAAAGGGGTCTTCTGACTCATATACCGGATCAAATTATTTATTTTTGTTAGACACGTGGTGGTTCAGGGGATAGAGCGTTGACCTTCCAATGAGGTGACCCAGGTTCGAAGCCCAAAAGTAACTGTTTGATATGAATTCCGCTTCAGGCTCCGACTATATGTTTTCATAAAAATTTTAAGGCTAAAAGGATAATGGTTTGGAAACCTCTAGCCATTGGGCTAACCGTGGGAGGGTTTCGTGCTTTTCCACCACATATAAGGCAAATATGGGTTAGTTCCATCAACACATCCACGAAGGTTAGTTTGCCCCAATGCTTGATTCCCTCGTCTTCCAGGTAGGAATCAAATTTAGAAGTCTTCGAAGTTGAATAATAGTCCCAAGCTTAGAAATGTGTCGCTGTTCTACGTCGGTTTTAAAAAAATATAAAACTTATTCTGGATAATTTTTTTTTAAAGAAAATCAACCTTTTCTTTGCTTTACAGTGAGACAAAAACCACGAGAAGCTTTCATGGTTAGTCTAATGCCAATGAGACAGTTTCTTCTTTTTTAAACTGAAAGGCAAAATCTATCAAGTTGTGTTAACCTATTTGAATTCATTAATAATATTAATAATTCATACACTTAATGTTGGTCTCATGTTCTTATTTTTCGTGATTCATGTTTGTATTTAACATTCTTCATGCCTTAATCAAAAACATTTAATAGTTTATTCTATTTTAATTCATTAATTATTTAATAATATTTTTAAATTAATATTTTTCATAGTTTACTTAAATGTCAAAAGTGAAAGCATTTATAAAGTTGCAGAAATTTTGCGTAGGTTTACATATTGTTACTATATATAGCATACATGATCAGGAAAATTTTTATGTGAAATTTAAGACTAATAAAAAAAAGTGAAACAAAAGTTCCCGAAACGTAAGGCATAAATTTGAAGTAAGTAAACGAGGTAGAAAAATCGAAATCTTTAAATATATGGCCTACCTAAAAGTTTTAAACTTATCTTTATTATTATAGAAAGAAAAAAAGCGAACAGCTTTGAATTTTAAAAGAACCATAAAGTGTATGCGATAAAGGATATTTTAAGGCACGTTTTGAGTAAAATCACTTTCATTTAAAACTCAAGCCTTAGCAGGGCAGAATTTTTTGAGAATCCTGGGACCCATTACAGTATTCTCCAGCTACGTATATTCCGAGAAAAATGGCCATTTTACAGTCAATGACGCGAAGCTGGATGAATATTCCTCCCAAAGGACTACACATACACTTTTTTTTTTTTTTTAGAAAGGCCATTTTATTTGAGAAGCTTGTCAATACAATAAAAAAGGTTCAATGTTATCATGCTTGGAATTTTTCCAATGCGTTGGTATAATAAGACTGTATTTTTGTTTTTTCGAGGTGGCAACACTCTTTTTAGTAAAACAATGCTGTATCATTGATATCATAGAGGGGTCATTTCTAGCCAGTTTTGTAGGATAAGAATTTTATTTAGAATGTAATTTCGAGGATTATTGGACTTTCAAATCCAGCAGTAATTCAGACTTGAATTGAAAACTTTCCCTAATGGATGATATATAAAATGGATGACCCAACGCAATGTTCATAAAACTTTACGAGCTGTAGTATTTTATTTGATGTTTAACTTTCCATCAGGAGTGCGTATGAGTGATACAAAATAGATTAATTTCGTTTTATATTTTTAATCCTGATGGCGTTTGGAATACCGGTCCACTGGGCCATTTATCTGCCTCCCTTTGATTTACTTTACTTTAAATCATCGCACAGTGTATAATTTATGCAAGTTAAGCCAACCAAATATATTTCTTTTAGCGTTCTGTTGCTTAAGATGTCTTCATACTTGAATATTTAATAAAGTAATAATTAAAAAAATAGCGATAAATGAAAATCGTATAATATAATAGTGATAAATAGAGTCGGATGGTCGTGGTGGCTCAGGAGATGGAGAGCTCACCTCCCAAAGAGGTGACACGGGCTCGAATGCTATTGATAACTGGTAAATAGGAATTTCGCACCCGGCTCGCACGAAGCACTCTGAAGCATTATCAGAGGTAGACGAATCACGGATTACATTACCCTTACAGTCAGGCAAACTCTAGTAGTTTTCCATGGATTTCCTCTGCATGTAACGCAAATGCAGGTTTGTTCTATTAAAAAGTCTTCCATGAAGGCAAATTTCTTACAATACTTTATCCAGGAGTTCCGTTGTTTTCTGGATTGGGTTCAAAATTAGAAGGTTACAGAGTTGAACATTGGTAGTAGTAAATTCAAATTTGGGTCGGCTGTTCAACGGTGGTTACGAAATAATGATATAAAAAAGATAAAGAAAATTAAACAAAATTGACTCTTTCTGAATGTAAGAAGCTAAAAAAGGTTGGAATATTAGAAAGAAAAAGGAAAAACACAGGAAAATGCTTTAGTTTTTTTAACAAAATTCATTAAAACAAAAATAATGTTAGTTTTATCTTAACGTGGCAGCTGTCACAATAAAAATTATTTTAATATTATGTGAAGTTAAGTAATTGTTTCTCATATGTTTACAGCTTATTTTTTGAAAAATATTAGGATTAAGGTTTATATTTTCTCCCAAATATCAAAATAGTGCACGAAAATGCCCTGTAGTTTTGCTAAAAGCTACTGTTCGAAATTTTTACGAAAAAAAGTAGTCGTATTCGATTTTTTTTTAAAGTTATTGTAATTGTTACTGTAAAAATAATTTACGGTCATCAAACATGTTTACCTACTTAATTAATATTCGTGAATTTTAATATCGTTTGAAATTTATAAGAGTATTTATTTACAGTACGAAACATAATTATGAAGTTGATCAGATGAGCAAGCTTAAATTAGATGTAGAGTGATTTATTTCAATCTTGAATGTAATGAAACACCTTTTTCTATCTCGGTTTATTTCATTTAAAACCATTTTATTACCTTTTTAGTTGAAGTTTTTTAAAGTCGCTTGGTTTGCAGCTTCATTTGGTTAAGTACCCTACTGTGCGTTGTCCGAAGTTTGCGGATTTAATATTGCTCTGTAAGTGATATTAGTTTCGTAGTTATTTAACTGAAACTCTACAGTGAAATATTTCTTTTTTTACTATATCCAGATTTCCATTTTATTTCTTACTTCCATTTTACTTTTAGCATTTTAATATTGTAAATGTTGGTAATTTAGTCGAAATGCTAGAAATCTTTTTTACTTAATTAAAAATTACTTAATTTGGAGCATTATATATTCGTTTGTTGTTATGATTAACGTAAACATTGTTTTCTTTTCCTTTGAAGTAAAAATTCTTAAAAAAATTATAATAATTAACTTTATGTTAACTGATTAACATTTATTAGAGTAAAATAAAATTTTTGAATGGATCATAATACATTTATAAAAAATAAATAATATGTATAGGAAATTTTGAAAATGATTACTTTACAATTCTAAAGTGGTAGATACATAAGAAAATATATACTTATTTTAAATGCAAACATGTTACCATTTATTAAATAGGAGCACTCATAGCAGTTTTAAAAGTGCTAACGAGTTTGTGATTAGTACATGAAAAATGAATTTTGGCTAATTTTATTTTATAACTTTTTCTATTCAGTACGAGAATTTAGTGTTCCACTAGAAAGTCAATTTCTTTTTCTGCATTTTAAATTGTCAAGTATAAATTAAAAAAGACCTTGCACCTACTTTTTGTTTATGTAGTCATTATGTTGACGAGCTTATCGTTTTCATTATACTGATGACAGATGAGTTTTCCTATTATCATTTTACATAACTGGTCTAATCAAATTTAATGCTCTTACAATGTCATATAGTTGCTTCGTTTTAAAGAACGAATGTTCTCCTTATTTATCGAAACTTATCGCCAAGCCAAGGATTCCAAAAAACATCGAATATTATAACATTTTTTTAATAATTCTGTGATTTTTAAAATAGATAACAGCACGAATTAAACTTCTGTTCAACGTGTTTGACTTTCAAAAGCTTTTATATTGTTTTGAAAGCATATTTGTATAATTTGATAATGAAATAAATAGGAACTATACTCAGTCGCGGATGATTTCTTAAATCCTATACAGCAACGGTCTTTTCTTAACTTGCAACAGAGTAAAGTACTAGAGAATAAGTGAAAAAAAATTCTTTTAACATATAATAACGTCACAGTCTTTAACAGCTTTATTCCATACGAATCACTAGCTTTCATCTGCCTAATATTGTATTGAAAGTATGTAAGCAATATAGAAAGGTTTTTACCTACTGTCAAAATGACTGGAGCAGTAATTTTCCACGTCCATCTCCAATACCAGCTGGGTTTTCTTCCAAGCATGAAATGTATGTCCTCGCAAAATCGATCAACGCCTGTAAACCAGAAGAAAAAATTTAGGCTATTCATGCATCTAACAGCTTTCTGCCGTTGTAATAAAACAGCAAACTCCGTTCATTATTGCAATTATTATCAAAGCGTGCATTAGAGCTAAAATTGTGCAATTAGTCCTGACTAAGCAATTGGTACCATATTTTCCAATTTGCAACCCTTTGTGTTATATTGAAATCAGAAATTGGCATATCATGATGCGTCATGGCGTAAGCAACTACTATAAAAAACTTTTTAACTCTCCCTGGACAGGGAGGCATAACGATGGTGGTTAGAGCGCTCTACTATGAGCCTGGAGGTCCTTGGGTCGAATCCTGCGGGTAGACAACAAACATCTCTCTCAAACATTCCTCATTCCATACCACTTTAGAGACTACGCATTTTGTTCAAAACTGAGTATATGCTGTTTCGATAATGAATACATGGAGGTTTTAAATTCGAATATTATTTGTTTCCGAATTATTCAGAGGCATTTTTGCTGAATTTTGAGAAACCTTTTTTCATAGTATAAGGATGTCACGTAAAGATTTAAGGTTAAATTTGTTTTACTTTTATATTTTTTAAATTAACTGTGGATGTTTTTTTTAAAAAATAACAAATGTATAATACATTTTGATATTCTACAAATATTGTTTTTTGAAAAGCTTAGGCGATCTCACGCTGTCAAGTTAATCTGACGCAAACTATAGTTATTTTTTGAAACTTATACTCTAAGTTTTATGCTTTTTAGATCTTGTTACAGTGTTTATGGTCAGTAAACAAGCTATGGGCAAAAAACAATTTATTTCATATTTACCCTACATTTTTTCATCCCACGTGAGGGAGGAAATTAGTTACAGTATATTCTTTTATACGTCTATGGTTGAAATTTGAAAGATGTTTTAAAAAACACTTTTCTAGGATATCTATAATATAAATTATTCATAGAATTTCCTTATGGAATAGTACGATTTTATTAATTAAATTTTTACGTTTATATACTTTGATTGTCATTATGAAAGAAATTATTTCCATGTAGGTTATTTTAATAATTATTACAAATATGTAAGAGTATTGAAACCCAAATGAAGACTTGTTTTTAAAAAATAGCATTTGTTTCAAAATATATGCTTAATTTAGTGGTATCAAAATGATCTAAAGGGAAATTCAGTACAGTAGTTATAAATTAGATAGTGATCTAGGAGAAATACTTCATTGCTGGAAGTATCGCAGTACGCCGCTTGGGACACTTTATTATGGACAGTCTGCTCGTGCGCATTCGTGTGGTAAAAATATTTATATAAATTACCCTAACGCTGGGCTTTTTAGCAATTGTTGTAAAAAATTTTCCAGTATGAACAAAGTAAGCGTTTCGGTATGAAAAGCTTTCAACTTACCATAAATCCATGGAATTGCGATGCTCTCAACTACAGCAACACAAACTACGGCTGTACCACCTCCGTATTTGTCCATCATTTCTAGTACATACTGGCCACCCTAAAATGAAATAATTTATTATTTTGAAATAATTTTGTTTTGAGTTCAGTGGACAATAGAATTAAAAATAAAAATAAAACATTATTATTGCTTACTGCTTGGATTATTTCGATGGATTATTAAATGATTAATACGCTTAGAAAGTATCATTTGTCGATTGTTCGGTGGGCAAAGGAATTTCTAACTCAACTAATAAAGAATTGTACAAGATGCGACGGAAAACGTTTTAGGGATATTCAGTAGTCATAATAAGCCTTTGACTCACTCATGCATTTGAGATAAACATAAAAAAGAATTTTTTTTGGATATTTCTAGTACTTAACCACACTATTTAAAATAAAATACAAATATACACTGTACAGTACCCAAAATTAAAGTGACTGATTACATACGACCAAAGCATTAATATTTTAAATATTGTGCAGATTTCGACAGGTCATATTGTCTGTCATTTTTGAAAAACAAATATTTTATGACTATTTAAAATGTAATGCTTTAACGAAAAAAAAGCTTAATGTCATTTCATGAATAGAGAAATATTTTATTTCTCATTAACTATTGATTTTATTTAAATTAAGCGAAACCATCATAATAATAAATACTGAATATTATAATAGATAATAAATACTTTTGTGACGCATGGTAGTCCTAACAAGAAGCAGAAGATGCCCAATAGAATACAAAACTTTGCCTTATGATTTCGTAGCCGGGGGAATTCATCACAGAAGCTCGTCAAAAAGTTTTCCATCAATGCAAACTATAGAAAAAAAATTATTGACAAATTATGAGCTGTCAAAACAATCATTACTCAAGAAAATTAAAAATAAATAGTAATTAGAAAACTATAAAAATTGTGCTTTAAAAACAGCTGATGAAGCATCAGTTAGTGAGAAACGGTTTTCTATGCTCCGTATGGGAAAACAAGAATCTATTCCAACCAGGTTCAAAAAGTCGTTTCAAAGTTTGTCAAAAGAGTGCACTTTTCGCTGGGAAAACTATGAGACCATGTTTTCTGTTGCATGTTAGACTATTAAACTAAGATATTTGAAAATGGCCTGTTAATCCGCCGCTTTGTTGTTGCAACTGATGCTTTTTTCTGGTAAACATTGTTTCGAAGGATTTTAGCTTGTAGCACCATCTTCCGATCAACTTCATAACTAATTGTTAAATTTAATAAATTGAGAATAAAATCATCTGGTTTCACATGCAGATCGCAGTAAACTATATATTGTCTTTTTTACATATTTCCTTAATTTAATGTCGCAAATCGTTGGTCTTTTTGGGGCACCCCTGGTTTCTGGTGCTTGACTATATTTGATTAAATGCAATATTAATAATAAAAATAAGTGTAATGGACAAATGGGTCTTGTATTTTATAACAGTACGTTATACAGGGTTTCCGTGGATCCTTGAAAATTTCATTAGTTGTAGTAAATTTACCTTAATGCTACAAGGAATTTTTAATTTATAATTCACAAATTCTTCAAGTTACAACTTCATCGTTAAGTGGCTAGCAAGACAGAATTTCCATGCAAATATACTTTCCTTGGAACACAATATTTAATGTTGATTGCGCAGAAATTGAAATATCGACACTTGCTTTATTTTAGATACTACTTTTTAAAATTTTCATTTCGCCCACGGGAACCCTGTTATAGACAGAATACAATGCCATTGATATAAGTATTAGATGATAACTTAAACTAATGGGAATTTATCAGCCCCAAATATACATGTTTTTAAAGTTTAAATTGTATCCGAAATAGCTCAGTGGTTAAAGGCATTGAGCTGTCATTATGTAGTACCGGCATTTAATTCATTGTGGTATCTTGAAGCCTAACTAGCTTTAGGTCGATGCGTACCAGCTAACCTGGGACGTAAAGCTGACTTTTGAGTAAGGCTGATCACATTGCTGACCAATCACGACGCTTGTCTCGAAATTGTAAAGCCTTAACCTGCATGTTCTTCCTAGTCCACAACGGGCTTTTATGGGAATACTTTACCATACTGAAAGTTTAATTAAATTAAAATATATGTTTTTTTAATGGTAAATTATGATTATTTGGAGACAATAAAGAAATTTTAAATATATATGTATATATAATACTAAATGATACTAAATTATACGTAATTTTTACAGTTTACGTAATTATAAAACAAATTTATTGAGGAAGGCAAACTTGAACAACAGAAAAAGGCAATTCTTTATTTGAAATATAAATTTTAATCTAATTATAAAGTTTTTTGATTAAATGTTCAAGTAATATTTAATAGTTAATCAAGAAACTATAATAACACTAAAAACGATAAACGTTTAAAGTTAATAAACTTTTTATAAATGAATTTTCCTAATGAAAGAGATGGATTTAGTTCAAATTTGCATAAATACNAAAAAGGCAATTTTTTATTTGAAATATAAATTTTGATCTAATTATGAAGTTTTTTGATTAAATGTTCAAGTAATATTTAATAGTTAATCAAAAAACTATAATAACACTAAAAACGATAAACGTTTAAAGTTAATAAACTTTTTATAAATGAATTTTCCTAATGAAAGAGATGGATTTAGTTCAAATTTGCATAAATACATTCAAAAGAACTTTTTTATTATAATTTAAAAACACCAATTAACTTACTTGTTTTTGCTTGCATTTTGTTCTAAAATGAGTATATTTTTTACTGAACATAAATTTTAATCTGGTATAAATGTCTTGTTTTAATTGAAATCTAAAATTAAATTTACTACTTAAATTAACAAAATAGTTTATTGGTATGCTTTAACTATTCAAAAAAGCAAAGGGTCTCATACAGCAAAGGGTTTTAAAGAACGATTTAAACTTTTATGTTCTTAAACTTATAACGGATTTATATATAAAAAAAGATTTTTTTAGCATTTTATTCGAAAAATACTTACTTCGCTATCTAATCCCAAGATGAAGAGCATGAAGAAGAAAAGAATAGACCACAACTGTGGAATAGGTAATCTACTCAAAGCCTCCGGATAGGTCATGAATGCTAAACCAGGTCCTTGAATGAAAAATTTAGATAGTAAAAAAGTTCAAAAAGTTTAAATCTTCTATTCTTTACTTATATAAACTCGTGAAAAGTGATTTTATTTTAAGCCACATGTAAGAGTTTAAGAACTTAATATCCTCTTAGGTTATTCATGTATGGATTAAAGACAATTTTGATTAAAAAACGGAGTTGATTTTTTTAAAAAAAAGATTTATAATTTCTCTCGGGGATTTATTTGTTCTATAACGCACATTTAAAAAATCAAATGAGATATTTTGAAAGTTGTTTATTTTTAAGAGGAGCTTATTTCAGTATTTAAATTACATTATTTTAATATATGTTTTTAAAATATATTTTAACTAAAAATAGTAAATTAATTTACATGATTACATTACTTTTAACTTTTGCTTAAGGTAATAATGAGAATTTCTGAAATATTTATTTTAATTTTAGATTGTTAGAATTTCATTAATTTAAACAAGCTATAAAGTAAGCTTCAGCTAACGTTTAATTCTGATAAATGATGTTCTTCAGAAATTGAATTTGAGCTTATTAAAAATAAGATATTTTATCAGTTTTTAAAAGAAGTTGCTTGTTTATTAAATGCGTCTTAAATGAGCATTATGTTAGCAAATTAAATCAACATAAAAAGATATCCTAATTATATTAAAGAAAATACCGACTTGTAAATAGGCTTAATTCTGCATAACAAAGTTCGCAAATATTAAGAAAAGAAATTTTAGCAAATTAATCTATTCTTTTTTTAAACATGTTGTACATTAATTAGAAATAAAAAAGGTATTTTCGTAAATAAGAAAAAAACAAAAACTGTGAATTTAATCGATATTTGATGTTCTTGATTTAAGTACCCATAGATGTTTTCGAAATAAATTTTTAAAATATCGCTGGCACAAAACTTACCAGATGTAATATTTTATTTGCATTTTGTTATAGTAACCAATGTGCTTGTATCTATTTATAATTTTCTGAAAAAAATTACTAAGAGAATTTTATAAGTTTACTGCAGAAAGTATTAAAGATTTTATGACTTAAAAAATATTTGATTTAAGAATTATATTTTCATATTCTCTCTGCAATAAAACTTTTGTTTTTGATGGTTCAGTAATCATTGGGCTGTACTTCGTCATTTTTGACAATCATTTTGTCACAAAATTGCTGAAACGCTAATTCTCAAATACTTGAAAAAACTAACTTCCTTATTCTAGCATTACTGATAGGTTTTCCAGCATTTTTTTAAATCTTGTTTTAAGACGATTTCCATGGCATGACGGGATGGTACCAGTGTTAGTGCACTAGTTTGTCAAACAAATTTACCAGGTTTTCTTCCTGCTGATGGATAACTACTAATTTATTTCCATTATTTTATGTTGTATTTTATAATAAATAGCATTAATTAAAGCCTTTAACCTAACTCATATTCTCAAACAAGGCAAGATGGTAATTTTCTCAATTTGTCAGAGTGTTTGCTTAGAGCGTTTTTCTGGAAACGGTTCTGTCATAACGAGGAAAGTTCCCTGAAATTTGGGTATCTATTTGTTACAGTGTAAAACAGGCATTAAGAACTGCTTATTGTCTGCTTTTCCTCTTTTACATTTTAGATATTAAGAAAGATTGATAGTGTATTTCTGTATCAATGTACTACTATACATATGAAGTATAGGTATGTTGTCTGCGTTGGGAGTTGAGCCGACTATCAGACGGCAGTGAGAATGACAGCTTATTCCATGGTCTTATTCTTGTCTGAAGTACACTTTCAAAAATTCCAGATCAAATTCCAGTAAAAAGTACCGGTATCCAGGGTGTCAATACCTTTTACCTCAAAATTCATTTTTCCCGAAAGGTTTTACGGAGCAAAAATTCTGATATACCGTAATTATTACAGAAATATTTGCTTTAAAATCACTGAATCACTATAAATAAATAAATATTACTCTAAAAATTACGGTAGGAAATTTTACAGTAAAAAAGAATTTTAAGGGATGCCGCACTTAGGGTTCCAGTACTTTTTACTGTAATTTGATCCGGAATTTTCAACAGTTTACATGGGCATCTTCAAGGAACTTAGTTGATTCATAAGGCAAGCAAATAAAGAAATATATTCCTCTAATTACTTTAATCGTTTCATAGTTATTATATCTTACCAAAAAAATAAAATAAATAAAATTCGTCACAACTGAGCAATTTTTTCCCTGTTTAAAACAGTTATTTTTTTGTTTTTTGTCTTGTAACAATTTGAATAAGTCACCTGAAACAAACAACAGAGACTCTAACAAGAAAATCTTAAGCATCAATTTCAATGAATATGTCACAGTTTCTGAAAGATCTTCAAAATCTTTCTGCCAATCATAAAAATGAAAAACTCAGCAATCTTGAAAATAGCAAACCTCACTATAATAGAAGAAATTAGCAAAAAACATTCCGGTGAACAGGCCATGTGAGAAGAATGTCAATTGATTCACGATTCTCTCCTGATGGCAAGGTAAAGAGGGGAAGACGATCGCGAAGACCATATGCAAGCAAATTTAGAAATATGACATAAAAGAAGAAGCCATATCCCAAGTCCAGAAACCAGGGAGAATGAAAAAGTAGGCTGGAAGCTTCATTCAGAAAATGGAGTGGACGGCCTAAGTAAGTAAACAATAATGATAAAATGTCTATCATATATATATGGGTCATTCTCACAAAAAGGTGATTTTTTAAGTCCTCCAGTAATAAATATTAGGAAATACAGCAGATTTCTTAATATTTTTCTTCATCATTTTTCGTAAAGTTCTAACTAACAAATCATATACATTTCTGCTAAATGTATTTAATATTTCATTCTTATTTTTTAGTAAACATAACTTGAAAATTCTCTTCGTGGACGTCCCTACGTCTGTGACACAAAATAATTTTTAATGGCTGTTAAACAATTTAAATGTTATTTTAATGATTTTTGTAGTTTTACCTAGTTAAATGGTTATAGTAACCTTTTATTTAATATTTTTTTGAAAAAAATTTATTTTTATAAGACAAATGACTAGTAAACTTTGTTCATCAAAAATGAAATCTCCCTACATGGAAAATTAATAAAGTTCGGTAAATATGCAATAAAAGGCCGCAGATGCGAAATCGCTATAAGAAAGCTTCTGGGAAAGGTAATCATTCCATTTTCTATTGTTAACTATCAGTTGTTTTTGTTCTGTTTGGTGTCAGTTTTGAATTGTTGTGTTCAACTGGGATTTGGCAAAGTTCTCACCGTATACTCCGTGGACATCATAAAGAAGGTAAGAGAAAATTATTTTATTTTTGAAAGATGAATTTTAGGTTGCAAAAATAGTGTATTTAATAAAAAGAACTGCCCCATTTTTGTAACTTTAAAATTAAAAATCAGTAAAATTCAAGAACTAGTTCTTGTCTCCTTCGAGGACGTTCCCTCCGTGGACATGACAATTCCACGGAGGAGAAGACACAGTCAATGGAAGAGACAATGTGTTAGATAACCATACTACAATTTTAATAATTAAAAAACTATTTTCTTTTAATTGATATTTTTTAAAATGGAACAAATGTGTTAATTTGTTTGTATTTTTAAAGAAAATCAATTAAGTTTAACTTTTTCTTATCGGAGAAGTAAATATTTAAAATTTTTCTAAATAATTTCTGTGATGTTTAAAAGTTTTTTTTCTCTTGAAATTTTAGGAAAAAAATGGCAAAACCAACATGTAAAAAAAGAAAGCAATCAAATGTTCAAATGCAAAAGAGAAGGGAACAGGAAAAACTCAGTATGAGACAAGCTAGACAGAAGTTAAAAGAAAACCCTATATTGTTTAAAAAAAAAAAAATAAATAAAAAAGAGCAAGAAACTTTAAGATCTGTATCAGAAAGAGATTTAACAGAAAAATCGTGAATGTACTTAAATTTCTAGAAATTGATAGAGCAAGCCGCTTGTGCCCAGGGAAAAAAGAAACAATAACAAGAAGAAAAGAGAAAAAACAAAAACGTCATTTGGATGACAGTATGTTTAACTTGCATAAAATGTTCATAAAAGAGTACCCTCAACACTCAACTTTCATGTGGAGTCTGAATTTGTATTTCAATAGTCTTTACATTTTAATTTATTAATATTCAGTAAGAGTTACTTAAAAAATTGTACACTTAGGTTAAAAATGAATGTTTCCTTTCATAGCAGCATGATTAATCGGAGGTAGCTCTATCTCTAATGAAATATTTTATTATTTACTGATTAATGTTAAACTCATATCAGTTGTACCCAATAATCAATGAATTAGTCTTCATTGACATTTTATATTTTATAACATAAAATGTCTCCTCCGTTGACTATTACATCTCCTCCGTGGACAAGGCAGAATTTAAAATATTTTAAATCTTGAAAAAAATAAAATAGAAAACTTGACCATTTTTAATAAGGACATATAACAAAAATAAATAAAGACATTTATGTAATTTTTATCACTTTTTTAATTACTTTAATTTAAGAAATTTTTTTAGTCTATTTATACCTTTTCAGTGAGAATGACCCATATGC